TAGAGCAACTGGAACTCTTAAACATTGCTAGTAGGAGTATAAAACGGCATAACTACTTTGGAAAATTGTTTTGTAGTTTCTTTTTTTTTTGCAGTTTCTTATAGTTAGTTAAATACCTAACCTATGACCTTGCAGTTTTATTGCTGGGTATTTAATCCTCAAGAAATGAAAATATACCTTCACAAAGAGACTTATATAAGAATGTATAAGCAGTTTTATTCATAGCAAACAAAAATTTGAAAACAGCTAAAATTTCCATCTATAGGAAAATGGGAAAACAAATTGTGATAGATTCATAAAATAGAGTACTACTTAGTAGTAAAATGAAGGAATAAACTATTGATACATGCAATAATATAGCTATAATCTACAGTTATCNGCTTCAGCGTCTTCAGCATTACTGGTTGGGGAATAGACTTGGATTATTGTTCTATTGAATGATTTGCCTTGGAAATGAACAGAGATCATTACATCGTTTTTGAGATTGCATCCAAGTACTGCATTTTGGACTCTTTTGTTGACTCTGACTATGAAGGCTACTCCATTTTTTTGAAGGGATTCTTGCCCATAGTAGCATATATAATGGTCATCTGAGTTAAATTCGCTGATTCCAGTCCATTTTAGTTAACTAATTCCTAAAATGTCGATGTTCACTCTTGCTATGTCCTGTTTGACCACTTCCAATTTGCCTTGATTCATGGACCTAACAATCCAGGTTCCTATGGGTATTGCTCTTTACAGCATCAGACTTTACTTCCAACACCAGTCACATCCACAACTGGGTGTTGTTTTTTCTTTGGCTTTGTCTCTTCATTCTTTCTGGAGTTATTTCTCTACTGATCTCCCATAGCATAGGGCACCTACTGACCTGGGGAGTTCATCTTTCAGTGTCCTATCTTTTTGCCTTTTCATGCTGTTCATGGGGTTCTCAAGGCAAGAATACTGAAATGGTTTGCCATTCACTTCTCCAGTGGACCATGTTTTGTCAAAACTGTCCACTATTACCCGTCCATTTTGGATGGCCCTATGCAGCCTGGCTCATAGTTTCACTGAGTTAGACAAGGCTGTGGTCCATGTGATCAGTTTGGTTAGTTTTCTGTGATTGTGGTTTTCATTCTGTCTACCCTCTGATGTATAAGGGTAAGAGGCTTATGGAAGCTTCCTGATGGGACAGACTGACTGAGGGGGAAACTGGGTCTTTTTCTGATGGGCTGGGCTATGCTCAGTAAATCTTTAATCCAATTTTCTGTTGATGGGCTGGGATGTGTTCCCTCACTGTTGTTTGACCTGAGGCCAAATTATGATGGAGGTACCTCCATCAAAAGGTCCCATGCATGCACTGCCAAACTCAGTGCCCCCGACCCTGGAGCAGGACTCTGCCGGAGACTCCTGGACACTCATGGGCAAGTCTGGGTCTGTCTCTTGTGGGGTCACTGCTGCTTTCTCTTGGGTCCTGATGCACACAAGCTTCTATTTGTGCCCTTTAAGAGTCTGTTTCCCCAGTCTGTGGCATTCTTTTCAGGCCCTACCAATGGAAATGTTAGCATTTCTAAATAAGTTCTTCTTCTCCTGCGAGAACTCCAAAACAACAGCTCGCTGCTGAACAACCGTCTGCTAGAGATCTGCGACTCAACGGTGGGATTAATGATGACGTCCTCTAAGAGGGCTTATGTCATACCGAAGTCTGCTGCACCTAGAGCCCCTACCCCTGCGGCAGGCCACTGCTGACCCGAACCCTCACAGGAAACACTCAAACAGTTCTGGCTCAGTCTCTGTGGGGTCTCTGGTTCCTGGTGCACACAAGGTTGGTTTGAACCCTCTGAGAGTCTCTGGTGGGTAAGGGGTTTGTTTAATTCTAAATACGATTTCACCCTTCCTACCATCATGCTGGGGGTTCTCCTTTGCCCTTGGACATGGAGTATCGTTTTTTGGTGGGATCCAACATTCTCTAGTAGACAGTTGTTCAGCAGCGAGTTGTTGGTTTGGAGTTCTCGCAGGAGAAGAAGAAGAACTTATTTTGAAATGCTAACATTTCCATTAGTAGGGCCTGAAAAGAATGCTACCATGTATCACCTTCTGCCTTTTATGAATGCTAGGAAGACAAGCAATATCCTAGAAAATATTCCTTCTTAAGAAATGGGCCTTTGGGTACATAAGTGGCTAATCAAGCAGGTATTCAAACAAACATATTTTACAGTTCCAGGCCTCCATCTTAGCTCCAAAAAAAGAATAACAATTAAGTCTCAAATCTCTCATTGTAATAATGATTGACAATGAGTTCCCATCGGCATTGCCATTTTTGGGCATTTGGGCAAGAACAGTAGGATACCCAGCTGGAGCAGTGATCTTTGAAGAAAAGCCTATTCGTGCCAATCCCCATCTCACGCAGGCTTTGTTGCAACTGAAGCAACTGCATCAGACTGAAGAAAAACCTTTTCTCTTGTCAGAGGATGAGGGGATTTGAATGACAAGGACTCACCCTTGTCCCAGCTGACATTGATGCCAATAAATAGGCAGTATTTAGCACTGGGCTGAACAGGATACACTTGCCAGAAGTCCTCTCATTTGATTCTTCTCACCCTAGAGTGGGATTGCAGCTGCAATCCTGAGAAAGGTGAAGTATAAGGGGACCAAACACTCTTATTAGGAAAGTCAGATCAGAGGGACATTACCACCGTTAAGTCTCTGATCTGCATTCATACATGAATCTATGGAGGAAATGCTTCTCTCCTTCTGAAGTGAACAGTATTCTAACAGCAGGTATCCTCATTTTTTAGGCAAGTTCACTGTTTCACTTAGATAAATGGAAAAAAATCCAGGTGAATAAAAAACATTTTGGTCAATATTTTAACATGTATATTTAGCTGGATTTGCATACAAAGGCTTTCAAAGAAGTCATTTTGGGGACTAGACAGTTGTTTTTCATGAGCTCCTTTTACTGAAAATATCTCCAGATCATCTCTGGAAATTTCTTTAGGAATTTATTGCAAAACAAACATTTATTGAACATCTTTTCTGTGCTGGATGCTGCTCTGAGACAACAGAGGTGGACAGATGAGAACATATTTACAATATAGGACAATCACACTTCTGTTAACCAGAACTGAGGATGCCCAAAGCATGTGTTGGCTTCCCCAGTGGCTTTACTACTCTCAGGTAAAAAAGAATCTTCCTGTCAATGCTGGATACATGGGTTCAATCCCTGGATCAGGAAGATCCCCTGGAGATGGAAATGGCAACCCACTCCAGTGTTCTTAACTGGAAAATCCCATGGACAGAGGAGCCTGGCGGGCTACAGTTCATGGGGTTGCAAAAGAATCAGACACAACTTAGTGACTAAACAATAGCAACAGCAAAGCATGTGTCAGAGAACATTCATCCCTTAAAAGGTAAGTAAATATTGTATGAGAAAGTCTTTGTGTAGATAAGTTTGGAAATCATAGGATTAGAAAAAAGCTTGACATCTTAACTGCAGGACATCAAGAGAGCTCTAGTTTTGAATCACCCTGAGCACAGCCATGGTAGAATTATTCTTTATACTTTTTTGGCCCCAGAACCTTTTGTTAAGGAGCATCCCTGATGCTCTGTAAAGTAGCAGTTACTACTCCCATCACTACTGTGTATAACCAAGCATTCCTGATGGCTCCTATAGCAACAGAAGGGGACAGTCCCAGGTCCCCTCAGGCTGGATTCTTGCAGGGCTGCCTGGGCTCCCAACATCCCAACAGCATCCCAACAGATGCTGACATCATTGGCATCTCTTTGCCTGCAGGTTCCCCTGGAGTCTGTGTCCACTGTCCACTGGCTCAGAAAGCTGCAAGTGGAGGGGATTAACACCCTTGGGAGCAGACAGAAACGCGCCAGCTCCTTTCGCCCAGGTATGGGGGTAACTCTCTGGTGTTTGCTCTGTACAGAAGCTGAGTTTCTCCAGTGGATGGAGCTCCAGTTACTCCCAGTAGTGATTCCTTAGACATCACAGCCTTTGCTTTATTGACTCCTCCTCCTTTCCTGTCACTTCTCTACTCCCTTTCTAGGGTTTCTTTTACTTTTCAAATAATCTTTTTTCAATGCTTGTCTGCTTCTGGGAGACACTACTGACATTCTACTCTCAGATAATGTGTTGAGTGTTTCACATACATGATCTCATTTACTGTCGTTTAATGAGCAAAATATTAAATTCGTCTGCAATGCAGGAAACCCCAGTTCGATTCCTGGGTTGGGAAGATCCCCTGGAGGAGGACATGGCAACCCATTCCAGTCTTCTTGCCTGGAGAATCCCCATTGACAAAGGAGCCTGGCAGGTTATAGTCCATGGGGTCGCAAAGAGTTGGACACGACTGAGCAACTCAGCACAATGTGCAAAACTCTCTCTTGCCCAGAGAAACAGGGATGAGAGAAGCCAGACTTTGAGAAATTAGGGTGTTTATCTAAGTTCACAGAGCATTATGGACTGAATCGTGTCCCTTCCCACAATGTATTTGAAGACAGGGCCTATAATGGAGATAACTGAAGTTAAATGAGGTCATAAGTGTGGGGCCCTAATCCAATAGGACTAGTGTCCTTATAAAAGAGAACAATATATTAGAAGTCCCTCTTTCTCTGTCTCTCTCTATGTATATGCACAGAGGAAAAGGTTTATGAGGAGACCATGAGAAGGCAGGAGAGGCCTCACCACGAATTCACCCTGCTGTCACTGTGATCTTGGAATTTCAGCCTCCAGAAATATGATAAATACATTGCAGTTGTTGAAGTCACTAGTGTGTGATATTTTGTTACAGCAGTTCTAACAGACTAATACACAAAGCTATAAGATTTGAGGCCAAGGTTTGCTCCTTCACTGAGCATCCTATTTATTGAGTATCTATCATGTGCTGGATATTGAGAATAACATGATGGCGCAAGGCAGGCACACACAGCCCTCCAGAGACAGCAACACAAAACACGTATCAAATTCCGACTCTGCAAGGAGAAGCAATGCCGTGCCATGAGAGGAGGCTCACCTGAAGAAGGTCAGGTGAGGCACTTTTGAAGAAGTTGCTCCTGACCTGAAGGCTCATGGATGACAACTGAGGAGTCAAAGAGGAGAGGGAATGGTAGCTACCAAGGCCATGTATGAGTATGAGGATCAGGGTGAATATACGAGGCCGGAAAGAAGACTTTTCCTTTATTTCTACAGACCAGGTTCCTGGCAGTGTTGTCCTCTGACTGACACTAGGTACATTAGCAATGTTGGCTGGGGTAGGTTAAAAATGACCCCCTAAAGATATCCATGGGCTTCCCAAGTGGCTCAGTAGTAAAGAATCTGCCTGCCAATGCAGGAGGTGTGGATTCGATCCCTAGGTCTGGAATATCCCCTGGAAGAGGAAATGGCAACCTACTCTAGTATTTTTGCCTGGAAAATCCCAAGGACAGAGGAGCCTGGTGCTACAGTCCAGGGTGTCACAAAGAGTCAGACATGACTAAACACAAAGATATCCATATGTAAAATCACTGAAATCTGTGTGCATTACCTTATATGGCAAAAAAGTCATTATAGATGTAATTAAGTTAAGGATCTTAAAGACTGGAGATAATCTTGGATTATCTGGGTGGACTCTAAATATAATCTAGAGAATCAGAAGGAGATATGATAACATACACTTAGAAAGGACAGAAATATGAAGACAGAACAGAGGAATATTTGAAGATGATGGACAAGGTAAGGAATGGATTCTCCCCTAAAGCCTTCAGAAGGAGCATGGCCCTGCTTACACCCTGATTTCGGACTTCTTCCCCCAGAATTGTGAGAGAATAAATTTGTTGTTTCAAGCCACCAAGCTTGTGATCATTTGTAACAGTAAACAGGGAACTAATACTGACCTAGCCCATAACCAGGTTCAAAGTCCCAGGAAAAGATGTGATGATGGCTTTGATGATGACTGATTTTAGGGAAATCCCTACCTTCTCATTTCCCTCCCAAGACTGCTGGGCAATAGAACTTCACCTAGTAGACATCAGATTTGCTAAGATAAATATGCCTGAAGGCCCTAGCCTTGATATTCTTCCTCCCTTTTCTGGTCACCTGGCTTCCACAACTGACCCAGAGGAGCCACAATCGTATCTGAGCACAGAATAATGCCTGAGAAGCTTGGCATCTTGTATGCACTACCAGTAAAGGGAAACTTTACTATTGTTTTAAAGATCATTTCAAAATAGCCTTTGAAGAGCTATGCTTTTTCTTATGCTGTTCCCTCTCCCCTCAATTGGCAAATTTTATTCATTTTTATGATCTTCATTAGGAGCTTGGAGTGGTTGCTATGATAGGAGGGATGCGGAGTCACCTGTAGGAGACAGAATTATTCCTTCTCCCTTCTCTTGTCCTCCCCTCCTCATCCTAGCTGGCTAGTATCCAGCTGCAGCAGCATTGCCTGCATGGCTAGAAAGGCAGACTCTCAGGGCCCACTGCAGACCTACTGAGCCAGAATCTTCATTTTGATGAGGTCGCCAGGTGACCTGCATGTACATTAAAAGTGATAAGCACTGAGCTAGAAGTGAGAATTACATGTTGACATTTCATGTCAAATTTCAGTACAGTATGATCAGATTTAAAGGATTTTTAGAAAAGTGTTTTAAAATGAATCCATTCAGCTGATTTAGACTTTGATTAAGAGTAAAGTTGTAGTAGCTTAGAAGCTTTCTCAGATATTCAGGAGAGAGAATGGCAACACATGTGTGCATGCACGTATTACATAAACTCAGTCTGGTCCCCAGCTCCCCAGTGGAGACCTACTGGGACCAGCCCAGCAAGAATGATTTCAAGTGGCAGGCGTGATGGGTAATCTGCTCATTTGGGCTTCCTGTCTCCGGCTTTCTATTAAGCAGTGTTCTAATAACTTCCAGTGTAATTACAGGCTTTTACCCTTTCTCTGACTTCATTAGTAAGGGATGGAGAGATGTTCAGAGAAGGATTTAAGGACTGCCTGTGTATTCTGCATCTTTGCCTCCTCATCACCAATGATCTGGCCCAGAGCCCATCTGCCCACCCCAAGCTGAGGAATACCACATGGCGATCAGGAGAAAGAGGAAGAGCTTCATCTTCAAGCAGCCGTTGCCCAGGGGAGGGCCCTGTGTCAGGTCAAGGGCACAAAGCAGCTTTTCAGCCATCCTCACCTTTGGCAGGGGGTGACTAATTGTCACTGAGGTTGGCAAGTAGGTACTAGTAGTCTACAGGAAGAGAAGGATGGGAGAAATCCCTGGACTACTTTTAAGTGAAGGATGTAAATTCCAACTTTCAGGTTATTAGATCAAGTATTTTTATTACCAGTTAACAGGTGAAGAGACTGGAAGCTCAGAGATAATTAAGTCACACAACTGTCAAAGTGTAATAATCCTACAGAAGGAAGAGCACTTAATGTGAGCCAGCCACTGTTCTGTAGTGACTTAAGTGTATTGATTGGGTCATAGAGGATCCTGCTGTGATTTATGTTGGAGAGTGTTTTGCCTATGTTCTCCTCTAGGAGTTTTATAGTTTCTGGTCTTACATTTAGATCTTTAATCCATTTTGANTTCAGTACAGTATGATCAGATTTAAAGGATTTTTAGAAAAGTGCTTTAAAATGAATCCATTCAGCTGATTTAGACTTTGATTAAGAGTAAAGTTGTAGTAGCTTAGAAGCTTTCTCAGATATTCAGGAGAGAGAATGGCAACACATGTGTGCATGCACGTATTACATAAACCCAGTCTGGTCCCCAGCTCCCCAGTGGAGACCTACTGGGACCAGCCCAGCAAGAATGATTTCAAGTGGCAGGAATGATGGGTAATCTGCTCGCTTGGGCTTCCTGTCTCTGGCTTTCTATTAAGCAGTGTTATAATTACTTCCAGTGTAATTACAGGCTTTTACCCTTTCTTTTTACCCTTTCATTGGCAAGGGATGGAGAGATGTTCAGAGAAGGATTTAAGGACTGCCTGTGTATTCTGCACCTTTGCCTCCTCATCACCAATGATCTGGCCCAGAGGCCATCTGCCCACCCCAAGCTGAGGAATACCACATGGCGATCAGGAGGAAGAGGAAGAGCTGCATCTCCAAGCAGCCGTTGCCCAGGGGAGGGCCCTGTGTCAGGTCAAGGGCACAAAGCAGCTTTTCAGCCATCCTCACCTTTGGCAGGGGGTGACTCATTGTCACTGAGGTTGGCAAGTAGGTACTAGTAGTCTACAGGAAGAGAAGGATGGGAAAAATCCCTGGACTACTTTTAAGTGAAGAATGCAAATTCCAACTTTCAGGTTATTAGATCAAGTATTTTTATTATCAGTTAACAGGTGAAGAGACCGGAAGCTCAGAGATAATTAAGTCACACAACTGTCAAAGTGTAATAATCCTACTGCAGGAAGAGCACTTAATGTGAGCCAGCCACTGTTCTGTAGTGACTTAAGTGTATTAATTAATTTAATTCTCACAACAGCCCTATAAAGTAAGTATTATGCCTATTTGCAGATAAGAAAACAAAGTATAAAGAGTGTATTGGTGTGCTAGGGCTGCTATAACAAATTACCACAAATTGACATAAAAAAACAGAACCATCTTCTCTCATGGCTTTAAGGGCAGAGTCTGAAATCAAGGTGCTTGTGGGGGGCTCTGAAGGTGATTTCTATTTCTTGTCCCTGTTCCAGAGTCTGGTGCCTGCTGCTGTCCCCTGGCCTGTGCTGCATCACTACACCTCTTTCCTGTGGCCTTCTCCTGTCTGTGGGCCTCCTCTGTGGTTCCTTTGTATGGACACGTGTCATCAGACTTATCCCACATGGATAATCCAGGATGACCTCTGCATCTTGCTAACTCTTACTTAACTAGATCTGCAGAGACTCTTTGTCCAAATAAGGTCATATTCACAGACCACAGGGTTGAGGATGCAGACATATTTTGGGGGTGGCCACAATGCAGCCCACTATAGAGAGGCTAGGTGATTTGCTCAAGGTTCCACAGCCAGAGATTTGAATCCAGTCAGTCCAGCCAGAGTCCATCCCTTCTCTGCTGCCTCCTGGAAATGACAGAGGCTAGACTTGATCCTGCACTGAACTCTGCCAGATGTACTCAGTAATTCATACTCACTCCTTACCCTGGAGAAGCTAACCTCAGAGGGGTGTTCCCTCTCCCTCAGACCACTGCAGAAGCCACTTAACTTGTGCCCTAGATTCATGCTTCACTCTTGCTATATAATGTTGAGTAAGAAACATGGAGGGGCCTAGGGATTATCTTACTAAGTGAAGTCAGACAGAGAAAGACAAATAATATATGATGCCACTTATATGTGGAATCTAAAAAAATGATACAAATAAACTTATTTATAAAACAGGAATAGACTTACAGACATAAAAACAAACTTACAGTTACCAAAGAGGAAAGGGGAGAGGGACAAACTGGGAGTTCGAGATTAACATATACACACCATATACGTATATATATATAAAATAGTGTGTGTATATATATAAAATAGATAACCAATAAGGTCCTATTGTATAGCACACAGAACTATATTCAACACCTTATAATAAGCTATAAGGGAAAAATCTGAAAAAAAAAAAGGATATATAATGAACCACTTTGCTATACACTTGAAGTTAACACACTATTCTAAATCAACCATATTTCAATTAAAAATGAAGACAAATTAATCTTAAAGAATCACACATCAGGCTCCAAATGCTGAACCTGGTATAGGACAAGCAGGGTAACCTCCTCAAGCCTCAGTTTCCTTTTCTGTGAAATGGTGATAATACTATCCACTCCATTGGTATATTATCATGTGCATAATGAGTACCAATAAAATTCCAGCATCAGGTACATGGAGATGCTAAGGAAATGCTCTTTCCTCTTCTTTTCTCTCCCATCTAATCAATTCCCACAAAGAGATGATTATAGTCATTGACTGGCTTGGACTGGGGTCCTGAGGTAGACTGGAAAAAGAGGTAGAGAGTAAAGATATTTAAGACACTGAGTTGATCTCGGTGTGGATAACAATGGGCATTGGGAAAGCGGAATGGGTGGGCTGTGGGGCAGAGCGAGTGAGTGGCACACGGGAAGGCTCCCAGTGTGTTGTTCTTCCTACTCCATCTACTACAGGCCTGGCCCCAGATAAAAGATTCCTGCTTGCCTGTGGCTTGATTGGCAAACCTGGGACATGGAGAGTTAAACTTTCCATCCTTATGGGCCCATGAGGGTCCTTAACTTATCCATTATTAGTGCTCCAAGCCCACCAGGGTCTCTTCTATAATCAAAAATATGTAACAAAGGTCAGAACCAGATGCAGAAGAAGATGGATGATACAGGCTTTACAGAGGTTGCTTCCTGGTCAACCTCTAAATCTTGTGTTGAAAGCCTGGTGGGTGTCACCCACAGGCAAAGGCACAGAAGTGCCCAGGAGCTGCAGTGGAGACATCATCTGGGTGTCAGGAGGCCTGGGTTTATCTTCACCAACTTGAAAATGGCTTGCATTTAAGCAAGTCACTTCAAGGTTTGGGTGTTTAGCAGAAAATGTGAAAATACGGCACTTTCCCCTCAGGGGTTCTGTTAGAATGAAATGAGATGGTTGGATGACACAGTTTTCAGCATAGGGCAGTATGTATGGGTGGTCACTGTGCTCTCTGCCTGGACTCCTTTCTTACAATTCTCTGCATGGATTATGTCCATACTTTATTCTGGTCTCAGCTCAGAAAGGGCCTCCCAGAGCCCTTATTTAAATTAGCACCCATCCCTTCCCATCACTTTTTATTCCTTACCCTGTCAAGATTTTTTCCTTCATAGGACTATCGCTGTTATTATTTTTTATGTAGCAACAGGTAAACTGCATGATAACAGGGCTTTGTCCCCTTTATTCACAGCTGATGCTCCAGCGTCTAGAGGAGTGTCTGGCATATAGTAAGGACGCAATAAACGAATGAATACATACATATTTATTTGAATGAGTGAATAAATATATATTAGCTTTGTATTATTATTGTTTGCATTGAATATATTATTCACTGAATGGATGAATAAATGAATATATATCAGCTATTTTTATCTGATTGTTATCCATATCTGGTACATGAACAAAAGGTCTGTGCCCAGGAAAGGGTGAGGCCTGAATACTGTAAGTGGCTCAGATTCTGTGGTCCAGGAGTATTGAAGATAAACACTCACAGATGGATGTCATAAGTTTTCCTGAGCTGGGAAAAAGATACAGAAGTCAATTTATCAACATATGGATAGGGTTGATTTCTTCCTGACCTCAGTGAGCAGTTACTGCAGTTTACATTTAGGGAGAATTATTCTTCAGTTTTTCCAATCTGCAAAGGGTTGTAGAAACTGAATGCAATGGGGATAGGAAAATGGTATACTGGGAAGGCAAGTACTGATATCAGGTCTACTTGGGTGTGAATTTTAGTTCCACAACTTGCTGTCAACATGAGTGCAGATGAATTAGTTGAGCTCTCAGAGCTCAGTTCTTGATTTATCAGGTAACAGAGCACCTGAGATATACAAGGCCCTCAGATATCATTCAGTCTCCTCCCTCAACTGAGCACTTAAGAGAAAGTCAGTGGTGGGGACATCTGGAGAGAGATATGGACATTTTTCTTTAGGTATACAAAACAGAAGTTCAAAGGTAGTGAAGTTTAGAGATAAGAGAGGAAGAGCGTAGGGCTCTGACTCTGAATCCAGAAGCCTGCTATTACATCTTGACTCTGACTGAGGAGGTGTGGATCTTGGTCTGGTGATGATGATGATGATCTGTGATGAACTGTGATGATGGTGTTGACAGCACCAAGCTCATGAATGCCTGGCATAGGATCAACACTTGATAAATATCAGCTATGAAAATGATTTATTATCATGAAGGGACTATAAAATATATTGTCCTAATTTGGACACTTGAAAATGAAAGAGAACAGTGTTAATAATTAAACCATGACAACAGGTGTGAACCAAGATGGCCTAGGGCAAATGGAGTCTAGGTTACAATATCCTTATGGGATACCTTACAGTAAGGATGAATTCCCCTCCTTGGAAGTACTTAAGCTGAAGCCAGGAGCATGAGGGTTGACACCTGCATAATGCTAGCTGAACCCAAGCTGGACTTTGGTCTTCCTCCCAATTTCAAGCTTTTCTGATTCCACTGGAACTATATCTGCAAGTTCACTATAGTATTAGTTTTCCTGGTTCAAGTCTCATTGTGGGGAGACAGATCTGAATGATTTCCATTCATTTGTTGCTGAAAACTGGCTTGGGAGTATGTGATGCCCTCAGTCTCCTGGTGGGCAGATGCCAGGAAGGAGTGGTGAGCACTATAATCAGTTCACTTGAGGCCTCACATGACCTGCCCAGGAGGACAGAGGAACTTCAAAAGCTCACATTCCATCCAAAACAAAGTTAACGAATCCATACTTGGCCTCATTTTGCCCTTGAATCTGAACCCAAGACTCTTGGGAATGATTTTGTAACCCAAGCAGTTATTGTTTTTTTCTCCCTTTAAACTTATTAGTTTAATTCAAAATAAAACATTCTTTTTTTCAAATTAGGCTTGAACTGGAGTTTGGGGGAATGTCAGAACCTCTTTGTGATTCTAATGAAACTTGCTTAACTTATTCATTATTAGTGCTCCAAGTCCTCTTGGGTCTCTTCTGTAATCAAAAGGAGTACTAAGAAAGATCAGAAACAGATTGCCCAAGGAAAACCTCCTCCCTGTGGGCAGTGGCATGGGAATCAAGGCTTTACCTGCAGCACCTGCAAAATTCTTTCTCAAAAGCCTAACAAAAAGGACAACCTCATCATAAAAAAGTACACAAATAATAAATGCTGAAGTGGGCTGTGCAGAAAAAGGAACCCCTCTACACTGTTGGTGAAGATGTATTTTGGTGCAGCCACTATGGAGAACAATATAGAGGTTCCTTAAAAAACTAAAAATAGAGTTACCATACATTCCTGCAACCACACTCCTGGGTGTATAACTGGATAGAACTCTAATTTAAAAAGATTCATGAATGCCAATGTTCAATCACAGAAAACTAACCATCTAATCACATGGATCACAGCCTTGTCTAACTCAATGAAATTATGAGCCATGTTGTGTAGGGCCGCCCAGGACAGACAGGTAATGGTGGAATGTTCTGACAAAGTAT